AAAAGTAAAGGGGACATACTACCAGCTGAAATTGATAATGTGTAGACCACGATGTTGGTGCCCATATCCAATTCGGTCGTACGGCGGTAGACGTGCAGGACTTAGTGATTCGCGGCCAGAGCAAAACAGAGGGGGGGGGGGGGGGGGGGGAATTGTTACGTTTTCTCTTAAGAACAATTAAAGTAGACTACAAAACACTATTCGAAGGATGAACAACATCACGTTAAAGGAGTGTTGATATTTGAGTTGAATTAACCACAGTCTAACTTGCCTTTAATGTAACCACTAATATATATATATTGCTTCTGGTGCATCCTGCCTCCTTTTTCACAACCGGCCCTTTCCCTACTGAACTTGTTTTGTATTAATGGTACTGATGAGGGGAAAAATAATCAGTCACGCAGCGAGCGTCATGCGTAACGGTTGAACTCAGGTCAACGGGTTGATTTTTGTTATTTAAGGAAAGGCAACTATCATATTATTCAATAAAGAGCCACAAGTATGGTGTATGACTGTCTGCAGGACTGTCTTCAGGAATGTCTGTAGGACCGTCTGCAGAACAGTCCTTAGGACTCTCTATAGGACTGTCTGTAGGACTATTGTTTAAAGGCCGGCATATATTATGGAAAATTAGATTATTTTTTTTTTAACACTTGGACAAATCGCGTATTTCTCAAAATAACTGAACCCGGATTAAAAAAAAAACAACAACAAGAACTGCACTCGGTTAAGCTCAAGTGTTATATATATTCTCAGCAAACTAACTTAGCGCTATATAATTTATTATTTGGAGGCGAATGTAAGAAATGGTGGACAGGAAGTATGCGCACGCGCACATTAGGTTTCAACTGGCGTCATCCCCCCCCCCACCCCCTCTTTTCAAACCTAAGTGAGACCAGCACATCTGCTGCTAAATTTTTTAATCCAAAATCCTTTTATCCCGAGCATACCTCATGCTCCTATCTTTACAAACTTCAAATTGATTTTTGACAGTGTATTACCGGCATCCCATTAAAAAAAAAAAGAGATATTTATTATAAACTCTATGATATTTTAAAACGTTCCTTTTGTAATAGTTCGAGTGCTCTCCAGCTATTGCTGCAAACGTCCCTACATAGCTCAAAGACGAACATACCGTCCGCTCCTGTATATGGACATTGTCGTAGCAGATACAGGTTGGCCACACGCTTTATGGGAGCCGTACATGCGAGCCATGATGATGAACTAGGGAAACAAATTTCCCATGGCGTTTGAGGGTTCTGGTTTTTAGGAATGTGTATTCCGACGAAATTTGAATTCACTCACTGGTAGATCAGACTCTCCGTTTACGTCAATAGAGTGACAGAGTGTTACGAACCTGGTTGTACCCTAAGGTTCTACGGCTTCGTTCTGTCCAGGGGGTTTTAATAACTACACAAACTATAATTCTTATATTAAATATATTTATTAACGAACTAATTCTTCAACTTCCATTAATGTTCTCAAAGACCACATTACTCAATCACAATAATACGTCATATCTCCTTTCACACAATACGTCACAAGGGACTAAGAATAATAGATAAAACAACACACATAATCTCTAAACAACGCGCAATCACACTATTCATTCAAGTCCATAACACTGAGAAGAAAGACAAAATGTCGTAACACTATACAGCATAGCCGTCCTAAAACAAAGTTAAAATAACTCTCTCAGAATTATTCTACAATCTTTTTTTCAAGCTCTGTCTCCCTTAACGAGCGGTTCCGCACGAGCGAAACTAACGTTCGATCATGAAGACTTTTTCCTCCGTCGACGAGAGACCCCTTGCCAACAAAAAATGCCCCAACATGTCTTCCCTTGTCACTACGAGGAATACGTGGCAACTGGGAATACATACCGTTGACACAAGCAAGTGGCCGTTTAATAAGATGCAGGAGTTTCATAATTGTCGTTTTGGCACACATACTGTACTTTAATTTAAACAGAGCTTTACGAGCCGCAATTCTAGTCATTGTAGTTTTGGTTTTGCTTTCATTTTTACGCGGACATCATCGGTTGTATTGGGACATAATATCGGAAACAGATACTATGGTGAAGCTTGCACCATAGAAGTATAAACAAGTCTTAGTACAAATCATTATCCGATGTAGGCGTGTCAGTGCCGGGTTTACCTATAAGCCAAACAAGCCACACCTTAGGGTCGAGATCCCACAATCTGCCGGTCGTATATTTTGAAGTTTTTTTTTAATAACCAACTGATGTTATTTAAAACGGTAAGGGGGCACTCTGGACTTTGTTATAGCTTAGGGCATCAGCAAGTCTAGGACCGCCCCTGCCCTATGTCGACATGCCTCGTTGAAGCGGAGAAGAAATAATATTGCACAAATCGAAAAGGGTGACGGCGCCACTTAATCAAGCACGTTGAATAGAACCTACAGGGAGTCTCTGTCATAAAATGCAGGATAAAATATTGTTTTTTTCCTGTTCTAGTTTTTAAATAACTGTGTAGACCAGGGATTCCAAACGTTTCTGAGCGAATGACTCGTGGCACCAATTTTTTTTTCCATTGCCAAACAGACCGGGGCCCAATTGTCAAAAAGTATTAATTTTTTTTTTTTGACACAATTAAATACTTTAACCTGTTTTGGACTGGTTCCAGTTCATCGACCACCAAATGACAAGCACTGGTTAAGATTACAAACTTGTAATCAACCAGACTCGTCCCCGTGCCCCCGTTACTTCATTATCTGTTGACATAGCAGGCGATAACCCTTATTTATTTGACCCGAATCAGTACCAAAGTATCGCTAATGTTGTTTTGTTTGTGGGATGTGACGTGGACATTTAGGAATATTAATACACTGTTTAACAGATTCCGGTTACTAACGTTATGCACTCTACTCGTTCGTCCGTTAAAATCGACTAGGGCCATCTAGTCAACCAGTTAGGTGATGGGGTCATCACCCTTGGAATATTTGTCCATAAATTTCATTTTTTTTCTCTTAGAATTAGCACCCTGCATTAGATATGCACATTTTTTTCGCAGTTAGCACCCTGCATAAGATATGCACATTTTTGACAGTTAGCACCCTGCATAAGACATGCACATTTTTTTAAAAACAGTTAGCACCCTGCAAAAGATATGAAATTTTTTTTTTTTGTACAGTTAGCACCCTGCATGCACATTTTTTTTTTTTTTTTTTTTTTGTTTTTACTTTACAACAATGTTCCCATCAAAAGCCTTTAAAATACAATAACGACTGGAACCCTTGCAAGTATTGACGCGTCAGCTATTTTCCGTCACCCGAGTTGGTCTTAAAAAAATTTAAATTTTTTTTTTTTTGTACAGTTAGCACCCTGCATGCACATTTTTTTTTTTTTTTTGTTGTTGTTTGTACTTGACAACAATGTTCCCATCAAGAGCCTTTAAAATACAATAACGACTGGAACCCTTGCAAGTATTGACGCGTCAGCTATTTTCCGTCACGCGAGTTGGTCTTTCCGAGAAATCAACTTAACTCGGCACACATCTACTTTCACTTTTGATTTTGACCGTTTATTTTGAAGCGCCGACTGGATCTCGCCATGTCATTCGTTCAGATGGCGCAGCCGCTGACAGACTTGTAAAAAAAAAAATGTGCGACAGGAAAAAGGATGTCGACAAGACGGTCTTGTCCCTCCTGGCCAAGGACAAGACACAGACACAGGTAGTACAGACACGGATATTGTTTGTTTTTTTTTCATCAAACAAATAAATTAATGTTGTTAGTGTCGATCGAGCGTATACAGTTGTAATTCTCGCATGATTGGAAAAGCAAGAGAATTGAAAATAAACATTAAAGAAAGTAAACATTTCAGTAGATTTAAAAAAAAATAAATTTTGAAGACTTGTCGAGCATCGTCAGTATTCATTGTTAAACACTAAGCTTAAAATCGTGTGGCCTATTTTATTTGTAAAAGAAAAAAAAAAATCACGTGTCCATTAGTTAAGGGCCGGCAACCTATGACCCGCTGGTCACTGGCGGCCCGCTAGAACTTCCGGTGTGGGCTACTGTTTCCACTTCAGCTATTTTGACTTGTAGCTTGTTATCTTACATTATTTGTTTGTTATCATCTCATTAGGGTGTTGTTGTTTTTTTTATTTTAAAAAAATGTGTTAAATTTATGACAAATTTGTTCAATTTATTAAAAATGTGTCCAATTTATTAAAATTGTGTTCAGTTTATGAAAAATGTGTTCAATTTACTGTCTAAAATTATCCAAGTGTTATCCTATGATCATTTTAAATTTATTAAAAGGCGTTCAATTTTTTTGGTCAAAAATTAGCTGTTGGTTAATATCTCTCTATAACTGTGAATTATTTTCATTTTTTTTTTTAAATTTCGTAATATAGTCCCGATTTGAGTTTTCATACGGTCCACAGCATAGACATAGAATGTGGTCCACAGCACGAAAAGGCTGCCCTCCCCTGGGTTAGATGGTAAAACTTCTACGTGTATGGATCTGTACATTTTGTCTACGGATCAATAGTTAATAAACTTTTTATGGAATGAAATGAATGGCCCCTGTATCCAGATATCAATTACCTTTTTAGTGGCGGCCCCGTGTACAAATATCAATTACCTCCTTAAAAAAAGGCATTTTAAAAATTTATTAATGGTCCAGAACACCCCCAATAAGCAGGGACATTATTTGGGTAAGGCAGGTTGGGGCATTTGCACCCCCCCCCCTTGAATTTGTAGTTTTTTTTTGTTTTTTTTTTAAATTGATATGTAATGTGGTGCATGCAGTAATAAAAAACTCAAAAAACCGACCAATTTTTGGCTTCCTCCACCCCCCTACTAAAAAAAAAAAAACAAATATAGAACAGATAAAAA